ATGAACAAAATGCTGAGACCTTATTTGTTAGTCGAGTGTGATAAGGCCCTTCGCCTAGGAAAGCGATCGGAGAGCCCATCTGGATCGACGCGTCCCAGACCTCCGAAAGTGGTCATGACCAGCAGCCAAGAAGCCAGGCTCATTCTGTCTAGGCGTTTTAGCATAAAAGACTCTAACCCAGGAGTTTTATTTTCAACAGGATTTCTCAGCTTCGGAACGGAAAAAACCTCGTCAACTTATCACCAAACTGAGGGAGCGACTCAGCCAGGGGAAAAAAACTTGGTTATTTACAAAAACCAAGTGATTCGGCTTCCACTGTTCTCACTCTAGACAGGCCCGTTTCGGATAACCACACATTCGACCTAGTAGGGGGAGGGTTGAGCCCGAACATAAAAAAAATCCCGAACAAGCCGAGAAATGAAAATAAAGTGCATGCACACCAATGCGCGAAGTCTGCTCTCTAAACTAGACGAGCTTTAGATTAGTATGCGCCAAGTGGCGTCTGCATAACAGAAACATTATTATCCACGAAAGTAGACGATCGGGAAGTTGCTCTCCCCGTTTTTCAGCTGTCCAGAAATGATAAAGCCGGGCAACAAGGTGGGAGTGTGCTCTCTTATGTTAGACATGGCCTGCTCATGTCAGACAAAACTGACCAGCTCACGTCCGACGTATATGCCCTTTGGCTCACCGTTAGAACGCCGGGGTCACAAGCCCTTGACATCCTGGTGGTTTATCGACCACCGTCGAACGACCCACAGTCAGCCACTAGCCTGATAGAGGAAGTTGAAGCATTTGCCATGCGATCCAATGTCATAGTTATGGGCAAATTTAACGCTCCGCATATCGACTGGAACCTCAATTCTGCAACCGGGTCAGAACGAAGCTTCGATTGCCAACGCCTACGTACGGCACAAAGAGCCTTTCCATCATCACACGTCTTATCTCCGACCAGGCGTCGTGAAGGGCAACAAGCCAACTGCCTGGACCTTGTACTGACATAAGCACCTGGCAGTGTAAATTGTTTACCTCCTCTCGGCAAAAGCGACCATTTAGTGCTACATTGGGAGAATTTACTCTACTCTATACCTGATCGTAGCGCGACCGTCGGACACAACATATGGTACGAAAACGTACGTCAAATGAGAACGGAAGTGCGCAAGTTAGACTAGAAGAAGGCATTCACCGGGTGTGTCCACGGGGATTGATCAGCGTTTAAGACCATATTGCACGGACTAATGACCGATTTCTGCCCCACCTCGAAAACGAAAGCCATAAATAGGCTCCAGTGGCTAACGGACACACTGAAGAGGGAGGTAAGTCGCAAACGAATGCTGTGGAAATCACATTTTAGAAAGAAGACCACCGAAACGCAAAACAGGTACAAGGCGCAGAGAAATAGGGTTAAGGGTCTTGTACTTAAAACCCGCGAAAGCTTCGAGCGTGACCTAATAAACCGTGCAGTAGGAAATCCAAAGGTCTTCTACAACTACCTTCGGTGATCCACTCGAAATAGAGACCCCATCCTTCTGTTAAAAACGGATAATGGTGTCGAACTTTACGAGAACGAAGCAGAGACTCAACATTTATCCGGGTTCTTTCAGTCGATTTTTACGAGGGAGGCCGAGCTAACCGTTACCAATTTTAGTACAGAGGAAATTCCGACCATTGACTCAGCCGAGCTCACGGAAGTTACTGTTCTGCAAGAACTTCTTAAGCTCCAAGACACGAAGTCGCCAGATCCGGATGGCATACCTACAAAGCTGTTGAAAGAGCTAGCCATGGAGTTGACAGAACCCCTGTAATTACTCTTCTGGGCTTCCTTAAATACAGGCTAACTGCCACGCGATTGGAAGACAGCATGGATCTCACCCATGCACAAAAGTGGGAGTCGGGCGTCCGCAAACAACTACAGGCCGATAAGCCTTACTTCCATATGCTGCAAGACTATGGAGCGAATTTTCAAAATAGAGTTGATGCATTTCTTAGAGCGCCATCGAATCCTTTCTGACAAACAGTACGGATTCCACAGAGGACTGTGCTGCTTGACAAATTTGCTCTACTGTCTTGAACAATGGACCAGAGCACTCGATCAAGGAAATACGGTGCACGCAGTCTTCGTATGCTTCAAGAAGACATTTGACACTGTGCCTCATCAACGTCTTCTATACAATCTCGCACGTATAGGGGTAAGAGGCAACCTTTTACGGTGGATCGAAAAGTTTCTGAACGGTCAAACTCAGACCGTCTGTCTTGATGAGTAGCGATCGGCGGAGGTGGCGGATGATAGTGGGGTTCTCCAAGGCTCCGTTCTGGACCCTATCCTCTTCCTTATATATCAACGACTGCATAAGCGGGTTGGACTGCGAAACCGTAATGTTTGGAAATTATTCAAGAATTGACTATATATTTCCAAAGTTTGGAATTATCTA